AGCTCTTTTGAGATTCTGAGTCAGTTCTTCGACCGGCGCTGAGTGACTCTCCATAGTTTTCAAACTCTCACTAAGTTTCTCGATCAATCTCCTTTCTCTCTCGGTACTAGCCTCGAGCATTTTCTCCAAATTTAACGCCTTCTGTTTCCAATACGCAACCGTGTCAAACTCCTCATCGATCTCAATCTTTGTACTATCGACCAACTCATCGCTTTTCTTCTGCCTAAACCTACAGAACAGATCGCTCATCTCATCCAAAACCGGAACATTCTCAGGCTCGTCTCTCTCAAAATTATGCTCCTCTATAATCTTCAGCTCTTTCGCCTCGGCTTCTTCTCTCTGTCTATTGAGATTCTTAAGCTCTTCTCTTAATAGCCTAACAGCGTTGTCCTGCATATACTCCCACTGTTTAACGAGATTGGTTAGTTGAGACGAGCCCTGGTGAGTCGAATTCATTAGCTCCGGTAAGCGTTTTAAATCCGCGATGGTCGGTTTCTCGGCGATTGTCACTTCTTTCAACATGTCTAAATCTCCGGCAGGTTTCTCAACGTTGAACTGTTTGTCTGCTTCGGTTCCAACATCTTCGGGCCACATCGAAGATAAGACTTCGACATCCATCTCCTCAATCTGATGATCAGTCTCCATTTCGCAGACCATTTATCAAACCTTCTCTTCGTACAACAACACAAATCCCCAATTCTAAACAAAGTTTCCTTCAAACACAAGAATCTTGATCAGACCAAGAACCTGTATATCCACATTTTAGACACAATAGTCAGTTCAATCCATCTCCGACCAGAATCTTGATTCACCATTTAATAAAATAGCGGGAAACTTCAAATTATGGTTATATAAAAAAGGTGAACTTTGAAAAAAAAACGGAAATTTGCAGAGAGTCCCTCTAGAGAATCTGGATCAGTTTCTTTCTCCAGATTGAAAAGTTGGATCATAAATTCACCGTTTACAAAAAAACGTATCGAAAATTTTTAGAGGATGACAATTTAGCATACAGAGTCGTTGAAGGTAAAATCTGAAGAATTCAATTTAATCGGAGTTATGATCGGAAAACACAGTTCGGAGGAAGAATAAAAACAAAGACTTGGAGATTTATATTGAGTCATATATATAACAACGTAAAGTCTCGTATTCAAAAACAAAAGAGAAGAAAATATGAATCAAGAAATCGAACACAAGTCAATAGCAGAAAC